GTTTCACCAATGCCTACGCGTGGAAACCAAATTTAATTGTAAAGTTCAAATCATATTAACACCAGAACACTTAGTAACAGAATAACCAATTTAAAAATGTCATATTATTGCTCCAGCTATCTGCAAACTGACTTGACTGGAAGATACCTGTAGAATATGGTTTGTAACATGGGGTTTCTGCTGGACTGTTACAGGGCTTTGAACAAAATTGATTTGTTTTCTTTATTTCTCAACCTAATATTTTATATATTTGAAGCTTTTAGTATTTTAACGTTTTTTTTTCTTATTTCTTTATTTGTTTTCTTGTTGACATGCGAGTGTAACTGAACCCTACAAGAGAGGGGAAGAGATCCGTCTTACTCATGGATCCAGACGCCACGTCCAAGACATTTTGAGCGACCAGATCCTTAGGGATGGGTGGAAGGCAGCACCGACGGAAGGGGGCTACGAGATGGGTGAGGACAGAGCCCAGACGGTGACGCTCTCCCTGCGCGTGTGGGTGGAACAGCTCTGGCTCGTGCAGCCTTGTATAGGTGGCAGAGCCCCGGCCTGTAAGAAAGACATGAATGTGTTCAAGAAGCAAAAAAAGATCAGTGATCGACGGAAAGTATTTCATGCAGAAGAAGAAAATGAAGGGTGGCGGACAACCAGGCTACGAGGCGAGTCGTCGCATTCATCTTATCGAATATTTACCTGCAGCAAATATTCATACGGATACATTTAGACATTTGAGGGAAAAAACATACTACTAGGAATCGATTTCTCTCGATTGTAGCAGGGGCAGATCCAAGACACGACTCTTCTGAGCATGATCTTCGAGATTTTCATCTTGGTTATAACTGGGATTGAGGCTTCCGAAGATTCCAGATCGACTTGAGATTCTGGATATCCAGGACGGAATGCGAAAATTGCTAGGCAACCGATATCTCTTCGTGCGATTCTTGTCAGACGTTGGGGGGCTCAGAAAGGAGATGGAATTGTTTTCTGGTATATTAATCCTCGGTGAGAAGCAGGAAATAATGACGGATAATGACCATGGAAGCATTCCTATGCAAATATACCATTAAGAGAAAAAATTTCCGATCAAATGAGCTTATCTTGTTTCCCCCAAGGTGCCTTCAATTCTCCTCTTCAACAGAGCCTATTCACTAGTGTGTCCCGTATACTTATTTCCGTCATCGATTCAGAGTGAGAGTGATGTCATTTCAGGGAATTGATGTGTGAGAGCGACGGTGTCCGTCCCAACATTATCTAGCCACTTGCTCGGAATACTTCCAACACTCATTCCACGAGTAGGGTCGGCATGCCAGCGAGTTTCTTCGTCACTCGATGCAACACGGCCCTTCGCCTCAGCCCAAAACTCTTCAATTGAGAATGACTGATGGGCCCGGTAAGACCCAGGGGTCGCTTCTAAGTGTGAACCAGAAAGAGTTATACTCCTCTTATTTTCCACTAAATCCATTTTCGTGTCCATTTAATCTCATAGTTTCAATGTTTAGTTTCAATGTTTAATTGACATTTGCGCCCTGAGTCCTTCCACTTGACAGATTTTGCTCTGCCCCATCATCTCAACCAGTCCTTCCATTCTCTCATCGTGGAGTCTCTTCCCAGAGAATAACCGAAGAACGTGGATGATTCACGACCGTGATAAGCACCTACGTGGTACGTTGCGTATTAGCTGCTTCATAAATATACGAGTAGTCTTTCGAATTGAGGCGTCAATTGCAGGGAATGGCCAATAATTGTTTGTCAATATTTCATTTCAAATTCTTTTATTTTCCAGGTTTTTTAAAATTATATTTCCCTGCAATACAGTCGATTCCGGTTAATCGGACCACATCGGGACGCGATCATTTTGGTCCTAATAACCGGCTGGTCCGATTACACGAACATGCCCTATGTTACAAGACGGGACGTGCTATACGTAACATATTAAAATGTCATTATGACCTTTATTGTGCAGCACACACGTATGGCGAACATACAAACAAGCGAGTTCTTCTGCATTGCACTTTAACATTGGGCCGCTTACTCGCACACCTCGTCCAGTAACAATGGCAAACCATTCGTTAAGGGCCTCATCGACGTCTGGATCCCTGCCTTCACGCTTCCGTTTTTGAGAAGTTCCTCGTCGTCCTTCACATTGTGCCCATTCTTCTCGCAGCTCATTCTCTTGTTTTATCAAGCGCGCAATTGTAGTCTTTGCCAAGCCAGTAATTTCCACCAACCGAAGCTGACTAGTGTTTGGTTGTTGCTTGATCTGATCCAGGAAACCAATTTTTTCAGCTAACGTCAAGTCCCGCCGTGGCATTTTGGCAGGGGAGACAAGACACGCACAGTTCACTGACTAAAGTGTTCTGATGAGACCTTGGTGTTTCGGGGTCAAGATATGAAGATCAGGAGGGAGACAAAATGCTCGCCATTCAAAGCTTCGGCACTAAAAGCATCCAATAGAGATCAAGTTTGACTTTTTTGAAGCAAAAGGGTGGTGAAATGATAGCTTTCTCGTGTAAACTTTAATCCTGATTGACAGGAGGGAATTCCTTGCACGTGATGCCGGACACTCTTGTTTACGCTTGACTTCATTTCGCCGAAAAGCGGAGATGCAGATGGGTCCAATAACCTCGCTGCCGGCTACTGGGCGGTCCGTTTTAGGAATGAAAGTGGTGGGCGTGTTCACCTCCCACTGGTTTTGCTCTTGTCAACACAACTTCTCGGACTTCCTGACCTTTCATAAAAGCATAAATTCTCCCGGGGAGCCCAGGGATCCTCCCATATGTCGCTGACCCGCTTTACATCCGCTCTACGCGGGCGACTTGTGGCTTCTTTTTCTTATTCGCTCTCACGTTCTTTGGTCCGATTAAACGGAATTTTGGTCCAAATAAGCGAATAATATTAGGCTTATGCAATAGGATTTGTTTCGGTTCTTTAGGATTCGGTCCGAATAAGCGGCTGGTCCGATTAACCGGTGGTCCAATTAACCGGATTCGACTGTAT